TTTTTGGGTTCACTTTTATTGAACAAATTTTTTTTGGTTCACTTCAATTGGACGAAAAAAAATTGATTCACTTTTCATTGAAAGTTTTTTTTAGGTTTCGTGTTTAAACATTTTTCGAGAAGTAGTTTTTATTCTACCCCATTCATATGCATAAAGCATATTGGAATGTATTCTTGTCAAACTTCATAGGGTAATTGCCAGTTTGCTAATCCGGCGTTACTTCATAATGGAAGAGGCAGAAGCCGTGATACACCATATCCGAAAATTGTCGCAATCTAGATTGAAGTAACTCGGAAATGCTTCAAATATAAAAATGGTAGAACAAAATTCAGATGTCAAAGAGTTACTTAAGTACCATTAGATTATCGTTAGATAGTTAAGTATATGCATATAGCTTCGATCGGCGAATTTGATATATTTTTATTAATTTAAATGTATTTTTTTATTTGTATGGCCTCTCAATTAAAAAGGAATTAAATTAAATTAAATTAATTGCTATACGAAATTTATTTATCCTATTTTGTATGTTTATATTTCGCGATTGGAGAGTTTCATTAAGGATGCACTTCTCCGGTATACGATTCTGAGAGATTAGATCAAGCTTCTGAGATTGTTTACTTTGCTATCGATTGAATTTAAAATATTTTTTGAAGAAATTCGAATTATTTACATAAATTTCAAATGGAATATTTACAACAAAAAACTGGCGATATTTAATAGTACTAGTACTTTCGCAGTTTTTATAAGCTGTTAAAAAGTTTCGTAATTCCAACTACGCGCCCTCGTAGTCTGAACACTGCAAGTCTACGATCGATGTTCAACTTGAATATTTTTGGTGTTGATTCCTCATTTGATGGACCAGCGTCAGCATCTTCACTACCATCTCGATCGACTGGACGGGATAACTTTTGCTTTTTTTGTGGACGATCCATGACAATTGACTTTTATTGGCTCCTCAGAGTATAGCACTAAATAGGAGAATTGAACAATAATATGATTTTAGAAAAAGAAATTGAACATTTTTCACAAAAATATAGATTACATGAACAGTTTTTTCAATTCAAAACCATTTTATTCCAGCTGACTATTAATCATTCATCCATTTTAATTTAGATAAGTGATCATTTGTTGTCAGTAAGTTTTTAAGTTTTTTTTTTTTTTTTTCATAAAAATTGCATAAATGCTTTCATTGCCTGTATTTCTAGCGCTGAACGGGCGTTTGTTAGTAGCATATTGCTTGTTTGCAAGTTTTTTATAACCGATCGACGAAGGCTCATTATTTAATAGTGTCGGTGAAACAAAGACGATCTGATTAGATGTACAAAAAAATAAGGAGGCTTACGTACGCAAGCTGACTTTTCCGCATGCCCGTTCGAACAATTGGCGCCTTTTGAAAGGCGCACGCACCATTTCTGCGCCTTTTAATGAAATGACGAGAAAAAGAATAAGCAACACATCGTATGACTCGTATTTCATTCGATTTTTCTTATGCTAAAATGCTAAGACCATACTTCTTCTTCGTTTGAATCTCCATTGTGCTGCGAAGATCCGCACAAAGAGGAACAAAAAATACCAAAAATGTAACGAATCTGCGCCTACTATGCTGTTTTTCGTACACGCTGTTTATATACGAATCATACGATGTGCTCGTTTATCCTTTTTCTCGTCATTTCATTAAAAGGCGCAGAAATGGTGCGTGCGCCTTTCAAAAGGCGCCGATTGTTCGAACGGGTGGCAATGAAATTTTGGGAATAAACTGAAATTATGGTCTATGTTTGGTTGCAGTAACTTAAAGCACAGTGAAAACTTGTGAATATTAAATATAGGTTCCCCCATACAACATTTTCGATTTTTGGCTCATAAACGAACATGTTGTATGGGAGGTATCGCCAATTTGTATAATGTCATTTTATGGTGGAAAAAACAGCTTGTGCAAAGTTTCACGTCATTACGCTACCACAAGCGTCTGTGAAAAATTGATTGCATCTTAAAACTAACGTCAGATTCGGGTTTCTCGCACCAAAAAACCTATTTCGTCAAAGCAATGTCCACCAAAAAGCAAACTCGCGATGGGTCTGCGTCTAGGTATTTGGTGGACAACCATCGCGATATTTACCTACCCCTACAAAAAAAGAGATAATGCGAGATATTTGGTGGCAATTGCATACATTTTATCACTATTCAATGTCATATCTTGAATTGTCTCGGTTTCTGTAGGCCAAACCGAAACCTTCTTCAACATTTGCACCACAAATTGGAATGAGCGCCACCAAAATGATTTTATCCTGCGTATTTTCAAACAATGTCGGTATACGTGTGCAAGGCAACAACGACATCTAAAGAGATAAAATGGTTATGGTATCACTTTCTTCAAAATTAAAATATGAGTTCAGTTTTGTTAAAACACACCTTTGGTATAAGATTAACGGTATCCTTTCCATTTTCTTCGCATTGGGCTAAAAATTTCGTGGCATCTATCTGTAGCCAAATGGTATTGATGTGGGTGTTTAGTGATTTCGTGTCCATTTTCATAACGAATGATTGATGCTCATCGGAGCGTCTCGATTGTGTTTTAATCTCTTCCCATTGACACAGTTCCAATTCACTTTTCAAATGCTGTTGAACGTTCATCAACTGATGAATATTATTGCGTAAATCCTGATATGTAATGCAATCCATTGTATAAAATCGTACACACGTCATACTAAAGGCGAGCAAATGATTTAAAGGATGAAAAAAATAATTAAATTTCTAAATATTTTCTTTATTACCTGGCTCTTATCTTATCTTTTAGCAGTAATTGCACTTGATACAAACTATTGAGTAACTTTCGCTTTTCGAGCATCAAGCACATTTGAATTATATAGTCTTTCAACATCATAAGTGTTTCATCCATGTCAATCATATGTTGAATGATTACATTTAATCGGCCGCTCTTCAAGGATGGTATAATTATCGTTTGAATGAATTGATCGGTTGGAATGTGAAGGAATAGATGAATATTTCTTGGTGATTATTTAAAAAATTCATTTTTGTAATAAATGTGATATGAGTTGAAATATATGGAAGGTTATGTAAAGGTTTAGGAAAAAAAGCAACAAATTTTCATTAAATGATGATAATTAGAGAAAATGGAGTTAATATAAAGGCACATTCTTTTTGAGCACCAAGCACCGTCCATTATACTCCATCCTCCTATTGCACATCACTGCACATTATTATTTACCTACCTTCACTTAATTTTCATAATTTTTGTTGGGTCACAATATTTTTTTTCCTTTTTATGTTCGGCTCATTTCTAATACCCTCTATTTGGGTGTTACCGTAAAATATATCACCAAGTCAGGTCTATTCCGGCAAATGGTCAGATGAAAAATGGTGAACAGTTTTACGTGAAATTTGGATCAAGATTACATAGAAATGCACTGTACAATGAAAATTAATTAGTTTTAATTGTAATTTATACGTTGGGCATTTTATTTTAAAGTCTTGTGTTACAATTTTTCCACAGCAAATTATTCACTCTGCTTTTGGGTGTTCAACAAACATGGTGTCCGCTTGGTTAACACGTCATTTGCTCGGCTGCAAATAAGGTTTTCATGAAGCATTACATGTATGGGTTTTGCGGTTATTTGTGCTTAGTTTTCGAATACGCTCGAATGATTATCTTCCATGCATGAACATTCTCTTCGGCCATGCATTTTAGCTGAACCAAAATTTTGGCTTCCATTTGATTCATTCGGGGTAAAAATGGAATAGCTCAGTAATTCTTTAAAAGGCATATGTTTTCTATTTTCAAAACAACATTTTAATTTGGCTTTTACGTATTAATCAAGATTATGTAACTCATACATCATTTTTTCAAATTCCTTCGTCTATGGTCAAGAGACTCTGGATTGATAAATCAAATGAATGATACTTTAAAATACTTTCACTTGGCCCCTTGCCACTAATATTACGTCGGACAATATATCAATGATACATTTCGTGATTCGAATGATTTATCAAGCAAGTGCTCGAAAAACTATATATATATATGGATTGTCGTGTCCATTATTGAATTTCTGTAGTTCTTGGGGTATGGAAACCAAAAATGTGTACATTTAAGTGAAAATGTTTCTTTTCCTCAAATTCAATGAATTTCAAATAAAATTACAACATTTTCGGTCTGTGGAATATATTTTGTCGTTGAAAATCCAACACTATGAATCTATTAAGATGTCCACGTCCACATATTATTTCATTCAGTCAATGTGACAATCCAATAGTTTGCCGATCGAAACCAAAATCGTGTTTGCAGTTTCAAGTTTTTTTTTGTATGCAAATCGTATGTAAAATTGAATGTGTAATATTTTTGGAGACCATTTGCGCTTGTGAGCCGCAGATGTGCGACTTGCTATCGCTTCTGCTGTAATTTCGTTCATGACTACAAAGATTTAATGCCATTTCCCATGAAAAATGGGCAGACTTATAAAATCCGGTTTGAGTTCTCTTCACATTTTTTTATGGTCGAAAAGATTTTTCCCATATAAATTGGTCGGCTAGAAAGCCAACAACCATGCAATTTGATTCTAATTGAATTGATAAAATTGTCACAGCGGTGAAAATTTGTCACCTGTTTTTCAAGTGCGGGGAAACATTTTTACTCCATTTATCGATCGGCGAAAGAATGGAAAACGCAAAGTAAAAAGTACATTAATCACATTTCAAATCGGATTTCGTTTTGACATCAATTTGCACCTCTTCACTTTGCGATTTTTATTCGGGTGTTGATTGGTATGGTACGATGATAGATACAGAATAATTCATGCGATAAAGCCAATATTCAACCCAATGTGTATTATTTTTTCTTACTTTCTCTGTATCTCTCACCGCCCGTGTATGTCTGTGTCAATTGGTGTTGGTGTTTATGGCATGATGGTGTTGAATGCTTTTTTATTGTTAACAATCTAGTCTCGTGTGTTGTATGATTAATGAACACGCACTGAATGCAATTACAAAATATATTTTATTATGTTCGATTTGTGCATGGAATACATGATGATGTTCTCATGTTGGTGGCTGCCACCGTTGCCGTATTGGTTTGGGCTTTTCCTCGATATTCGATGTTTCATTCCATGACAATAATTTCGATTTTACTCGCTCATACTCGCAATTTCTGCAATTTCATTCATACGTTATGGTTGATTCGTGCTTTTGCTCACATACCGCAATCATTTCATGTATGTTGTGTGTGTATTGTCGCCGGTGTGTTTTGAAACATGATGCATTTGCAATTTACACGCTTATCGTCACTTTGAGGGAAATAGTAAGTGGCTGTTTTCGTTTTGACACAACGGATCAAGGAAACTCAATGGATAATTCAATACATACGCCAAACCAAATCCATATATTGAATGTTGACGTCATGGTATTCTAGTCGACTCTGAAAAAAGTGGCAATACATTCGATTTTTTCTTGCTATTTTTTTATTTCCTTACACTGGCAGCATTCCTTCCTTCATTTTTTTTGTGTCAGTTTCGTTTGGTATTAAATTTGGTACTCGTTTATCGTGTATGCACACAAAGACACACCCCATACAATACATACCATGCATAATCCTTTGTATCACCATGAGTAACGCGAACGATAGCCCTGTCAACATGTGTTACACATTCAACATTTTTCCCTCGATCCAGACATCAAAATGCCGTTGATTGGGGAGAGTGCAAAAACTTCACACAAAAATTTAATACCGATTTTTTTTTGCCAACTTGGTCGTTGAATATGCAAAGGTTTTCTGTATTCCAAAGATGAGGGGCACATCGCACACATGCAACTACATCAGGATATCGAATGGAAATATTATTCCATAAAATATGCCGTTTGGTGTTTGGTTTTTGCAACTATGTTTACAATTTTTTGTTTAAAAACCGTTCATTTTTTAAATGTAATAAATATGAATTTTTAAAACATTACACTCAATAAAAATTGTAACAAAAATGGTGAGTACTCGACAAACATCGACTTTACTGTGATTCGTTGGGAAACGTCCTTTTTGTTTTTGACACAAACACTTTTGAGACTCGCAGTCATTTTGGCATTAGGATTTCCATTGGGTCGATATATTGTGCGTGCGCGTACAAACTTCACGCATCATATACTTTTCATAAATGTACCTTCTGGCATTTATTTGCCTTTTTCGTGTTTCCAGTGGACGTTGTGCTTAAAATTTATAGACTTGAATTTATATCGTCTGTGCACTGTCAATTTTGTGCATCTCAGATTCCGTCACTTGGTTGGCCACTATTCGGTTGCTGTTAAATCAAAATTCAGCTCACGTTTTGCAATAATCAAAATAGCTATGTAAAAATACCATAAACGCACATACGTTGGCAATCGATCATAGCCGCATTTTTTCCCTATTTTTCCAATGTACGCCGTGCAATCGATAAATATGATCCAAAGTTGAATGAACTCTGTAACTTTTAATTTTTATCGAAAAAAGAATGAGAAAAATATGGATTTCAAAATAAAAATGGATTCCCAAGACGCATTCAACGAGTAGATGAGATTGAAGAATAAGATTTAACTAAATCATATGGTCAATTTATTTCATTGTAGTTCCTTCAATTTGTTTGACATATCAAAAGAATATAATCTGATCTTTTCATTTCCCAAAGGTAATGCTTACATCGATTTACATCCGAAAATAATCATTAAAATCGCTATGCTTCGTTATATGTATAGAAAATACCAACGAATAAGCAACATGGTTAGATCCTACACTAATAAAATTTGTTTTGAAATGCCAAAAATGCTTTATCCATTCTTCAACCCTGCTTTGAATTTATCTGCTGGAAGCGAGCGAATGAAAATGGAAAATATTTCGAAATATTTTCTGCAAAACACCGTACGATTCGCCGCAAATTATTTATTTACCTGTATGTACTACAGACTGCGGGTAAAAGCGTCTATTTGAACAATGCAAAATGCTATGTTAAGTCCACGGACGGTACGTTTTATATTGTAAATACGTCCTTTAATCGCATTATTACATATTTCATTTTCCCACAAATATACACGTGCGTAGACACACCGCATGCATTCCATATCTTGTTAGAAGAAGCATATGTAAGAGTCATTGAATGATTTGCGAGTGGCCTCATGTGCATATCTTATCATTCTCACCGATATTGAAATGCTGAACAAAGACACTACTTTTCTTTGAATGAATACTTTTTTTATATCTCTGCATCGTCTTATCCGCACAACGCCCCCACCAACCATGGCTACAGCGTTGAAAACAAAGAACTTTGTCATTTTATTACGATTGGGGTGAAGCGGGTCAAAGCTGAAATTTCATTATCCAGATGCAAGAAAAAACCTTTTATATTAAGTTTTCGTTCGGCACAAGATCTTTAGCAGTCACATTTAAAAACTTACATCAACCTTTGGCCTGTACTATATTTACAAGCATCGTGATCTTGGTGAACATTTACTTTTGCAAAGTTTTTAGCCTCTTTCACATTTTCAGTGCAATTCGATTTGAACAAGTTTGTCTTCTCGAACACAAAAAAAGCACACACAACAACATTCTTCAGACATGTTTCAACATTTTTATATTCTTTGAACCGATTATTTGTAAATGTAACATTTCTTCGGTCTTCTCGAACTATTTTACAGACTTTTTCGCTCTGTGTGACATGAAGGGGGAGCTAGAACAAAAAATTACAACTTTTGATATGGTTCCGTACTTTTTTGTTCATCATTTTAAATATTCGTTTTGCTTAAGTAAAAACTTTTAATGTGAAACAATTTATTTGCAAATATATTATTATTATTTCTGTTGGAAGAGGATGATTTTGATGACATAGTCTGGTAGAATAGAGCCTTGTCTGCCATCTCCTTTTCTTGCGTAACAAAAGTGGAACAACACTTTCTAAAATGAAACACTTCAATTTTTTCGATCTATTTTCGGAAATGGTAAAACTGGAAAACAAAATTTTTCGTTGCTTCCGATTCTTCAGTTTCTGTGTTTTTGCTTCTTGAACCAAGTCGATAAAGTGGAATGTCAAAAATGTTCGAATCGTGTTATCATGTTATCATCATCCAGCAAGTAAAACTGTTTCGGTAGCAATCGTTTCATCAGCCAAAATCAACATGTTCGTCTGAAGAAATAGCGAGAAGCAGCATCAAGATTAGCGCAACAATTCACGAAATAAAGTTTGGAATAGGAGTGAGAATTTTGTTTCTATACAGAATAAACATGATAGATGTAATGTTTATCTAGGATGATAGCAAATAACAGAAGTGCTGAGTTGTGCGTGTCGATGAGTTAATGCATTTCAGATTATGTGGATTTAACGTTTCAAAATATGATTTTTTTTCGTCAATATTCCACACAGTTTTTTTTTTCCTTTTCTCTTCCTGCCATACATAATCGCCCATAATATTTTACACCAAATCATGCGTACATATTTGGGATTATGTAAATATTGTAGAAACGTTCAACGACCTCTTTTTTCTGTGCATATCTTGTCATTCTTCGCCGATCCACACGTTTTGCTTTGCGAAATGATCGACTGATTTTGCCATGTCATATCGAGAAAATAACAAATCAAATACACTTAAATCAATGGAAATACACACGCCGACTGTTGAAAATTTAATTAAAATTAAAGCACGTTTCAATGTTCAAAATGTCACCTAATGCCGCAAAGATGTCAAAATAACTCAATTTAGAAATTGAGCTTTAATTCCCTGTCGCATGTTCCATTATATATTTGAATTAAGAAATTAGTGTAAACTTTTCACAACGACAAATTCATTTTCGCTTTGAAAGTATTTTGCGTCTATTTTTGAATGTTAAAGCCATAAAGTGATTATTGTCTGTCACAGATTCATTGCCAACTCGAAATATAATTCAAATATTTAGATGAATAAGAAGACCATTTAGCACGTTAACCACAATATTGGATGGGTAGTTAAAATTTGAGTCGATGTCAAATTTCGAAAAATCGTTTATACCACCAAAATGTACAAATTATGTACAACAATTATCATGCATATGTATCAATGTTTATTCATCGGGTCCCTAGAGCCAACAGTTCAAAAACCGAAAAAAGTCAATTTTCGGAATTTTTTCGTAGTGTCCGTACGAGCAGTGGTTTGACATCGACCGGGATGTGACTACCCATCCATAATATTCTATCTATTTACAATGTTTTAGTTTTTCAGTGCGTGTTTCAAAGTTTAAATGCAAATTGTTGATCAGAGACTTGGAAATGCAACCAACTTTTAATGGATTCACAAAATAATTTGGAAATCTGATGCATCACAAGCGTCACTATTCGAGTTTGCGGCAAAAGATTAAAAATACACAAAATATCTCTCGTTTAAAATGCTGAACTACGGCATAGAAACTTTGTTGCATCAACAAAAATGAAGATAGAATATATTATATTCTGCCAATTAAAATTGTTTCAAGTTTAAAATCAAATGTATTTCATGTATGTTTTCCATTTGAACAAAATCCATTGCACGTAACAAACAAATTAAATTGTAAAATGCATTTACATTGTGTGGATACAACAGGTAAAATTAAATCGATGCAAGTCATCATCTATTCATAGACGCGGGAACTGTATGTTGGAATCCTTGGCGCCATGAAATGAATGACATTTTTTGTTATCAATTAACAAGATATTTTTATTCCTCCAAATATATCGAACAATATGAGAACAACAATGGAACTTTGGAAAAAGAGAGATGGCACAAAAACAAGCTTATAACAAATGGCCAAAGAAAATTGATGTGAATCGGTTATTCAACATTGACGTAATCACTAATTCACATCATAAAACCAGTAAATATTAAATTCGTTTAATTTCGATATTTGTTTCATCATTTAAATAATTAATTAAATATGTAACACATATTTTTAACATACGTCCGCTGTTTTGGCTAAATATTTATAATTTAACACTGTACAAATTTTCCAAATTCCATATTTCAATATTTTCATGAATCAATAATGTATTTCAATTTATGTTCTAAGCGAACCGTACAGCTTTAAATGTTTGCGGAATTTATCCAAACATGATGTTTGAAACATCAAATACCACGGTATAACCTGAATTCATTGTCTGTGTCCAACGCACTATGAAATTGTTTATAAAACTTTTTTCAAGAGAATCTAAATCGTTTAAAACTTGAACAGGGTGGTTTTTTTATTGTTTTGTGTTTTTTTCTGTGATATCAGTAATATTTGACCGGTTCAACGATTCCGGTGGCGAATTGACGTATCAATGACACTTCAATAAATGATACAATGAAAATACACACCAGAATGTCGAAATGCAACCAAATACATCTGATGAAGATACTTTTGTGGAGAACATATTTACTGTTATTTGCAGCACCAAATATATGATTGACACATTATTTAGATTAATATGTATATTAAAACATTCAATTTCAAAAAGGCGTTTGATAATTATGTTGATTTAATAATTATTTCATCCATGCATATTTGCTACTTTTAATTTCCATTTGATTGAATAAATTTATGTGATCAACAAATTAAAATAATGTAATTGTAAAAATATCGTCTTGCCAACCAATTAAATCTAATTCCAATACGAATAAAAAGCAAATTGACTTCTGTTATTCAAAGAAATAAATAGGTATTGTTAGTAGAGATCTCTCAAGAGATAAGCATTATAGTTTCTGGCTACTGGAAACAACCAACAAATGACCGATTTAAATAACTTCTTCAAGACCGGTTTAATTCGTATTCAGAAATTTCCATTTTTTTTTTCATTCTCACAACTTAATTTATATTTAAAGCATATCTAGTCAATACGTCAATGCCAAGAGGAACAGACGCGTGTTTCTTTCCGCTTGCTCTGGTTGTGGTATGCCAATCTGTGAAATATAAGATTTAAACGTAAAATCATTTCGATTGAATTCTATCGATTGACGAACGTGTAACAAGTGTGCATCGTGCTAAAAAGATAAATTGAACATAAATATTCCAGCTTGAAAAGTTCACATTTGGGAAATTATTTATTAATTCCGATTTAATGGATTTAAATAATCAATAAAAAATTGTGGCAACATCAAATAATTCATGAATCAAATGTGGTGCCGTTGCCATTAAAATATTGAAATATCAACGACTAACTTCATATAAATTTGGAACAAAATTACAAAATGTAAATAGAGCGACAGATACAAAGTGCAATCAGAAATCGTTTTCATTTGGAATGTATATTGGTTACAGGGAAGCTGAAAATATGGAAATTCCAGGAAATGTGAACGGCCTTGAATTCTCTTCAAAGGTGAATATGATTGAAGTCAAAACGAGCCGATTGCGAACATCTTTGCCGCAGGTATGCAAATGAATTCGATGGTTTCAATATGTATGGAAATAAGATAATGAATTTAAGTCTCGTACTTCATTGAAAGATAATAGTGAGTTTAGTGACAACATTGCTACTTTTTGATCTTGGGGTCTCCATTGCCTATCCAACCGTACTCATTTCTGCGTTGACTGGCCTCAACAATAAAACAAATCCAAACGAACTTTTACGAATGACAGCTGTCGAAGCATCATGGATGGGTATGCAATTTAAAAAACATTTTTAGTTTTTTTAATTTAGTGTTGATGTTTCATTTTAGGCAGCATTAGCTATTTGGGCAAATTGGTCGGTAGTTTAATATGCGGATTGTCATGCGAATTATTGGGACATCGATCTAGCATGATATTGATAAATTTTCCGCATTTGGTTGCATTTTATCTTTTTTATTATTCCACATCGATTTGGAAAGTGTTTGTCGCAAATATTTTGCTTGGATTTGGGGCTGGATTTATCAAAGGTAAGTTGTGACACGTTCATTTCAGCTATTATCTGTTAACTTACCATTATTGATTGAACCATTTCGTTCCGATTAAGCTCCATGTACAACCTATGTGTCCGAAACGAGTGAAGCATCAATTCGTGGTGTTTTAGTTTCGATGACTTCGATTTCATTAACTGTGGCACCGCTCATTATTTTTTCACTTGGAAATTTGACGCAATGGCGAAACATTGCCCTATATTGTTCCATTCTTCAAATTGTCACAACGATATTATTATTATTTGTAAGTTTTTTTTTACTTTAAATCATTTTCCATGTGTTTACCCCTTCAAACAAATCTTTCTTTCAGCTTCCCGAGTCCCCGATGTGGTTATTATCAAAACAGCGTGATGAAACGGCATTAAAAGCATTACGATGGTTACGTGGTTGGGTACCACAAAATCTTGTCCAAACGGAATACGATTCCATTAAAAGATATAAAGCTAACTCGAATTCATGTGCAAATTGTAAAAAATCTAGCATCGAATGTACTCATCTCAGTGCTCAAACTACTCAACAAGCCATAAGAGAGTTAATCCGAAAAAGGACATTAAAACCATTTTTCATTTTACTGGTTATGGGTTTCGTTTCATATTTTTCCGGTTCTCATCACCTAACGCCATACATACCGCAGATACTCAACACGTATCGCTCTCCAATGAGTCCAAACTGGGCAACAGTATGTAGATTACTTTATGTTTGCTCTTTCGCTTTACACATCATACAGTGACTTATGTTTGGAATATATAATGTACAGGTGGTTGTGGCGACCATCGGTATGACTGGCACATTCGGTGGAATTGTTGGCATGAAAGTGCTCGGCAAAAGACAACTTTATCTCGTTTCTCTATCGGGTGTTACACTGTGTGGACTTATTTTATGTATGTTGTGCATACTCTTAAAATTTCTATTTAGCAATGCATTAACAGTTAACCATTCTTTTCAGCAATCTATGGTTTCATCTATTTGCCAATGAATTCAAAATCATTCGAACACAAAAATGTAATCGAATCGGAGAGTTCGAGCATTCCTTTGATTGTGTGTTGTGTGATGCGCTTCTTTACAACAATATCACTGATGGTATTGTACGATTCAATGGAGATCATCATTGAAAGATTCGACTTTTTAATTTTACTAAATTTTTGAATAATACAAATTTCATTAATTATTATTAGGTGCCGTTTACAATGCTGAGTGAATTATTTTCATTGAAATCTCGTAGCATGGCTACTGGAGTGGTGGTATCACTGAATAACATTTTTATATTCACCGCTACGAAATCCTTTTATAATTTGGAACATTGGTTTGATTTACCGAGTACATTGGGCATTTATTGTGCCATCGGTGCCATTGGGTAATTTTGTCCTTGTCACTATTGAGTTTAAAATGAAAATTATCGATTGGAATTGTTTATATTTAGATTGGTGGTGACGTTTTTGATACTCCCAGAGACGGAAGGTACATCGTTGGAAGATATTGAAATTCATTTCTCGGATAATTCACGAAAACTAACAGATCGATACATAGCCCGACAGTCTGAGAAATAAAGATATTTATAAATACAAACTCGAGATAAAATGTTTGGTTCGTATGAAACCTGTATAAAAAAGTTGTGTTCCAGTTGTATGTCAATAAAAAAATTCTATGAAGAAAACAACATGATTATATAATTTAGAAGTTTGTTAAAGTATATGTATTTTCAATTTAATACATTACAACAACACTATGTGCAACTTTGTTTTATAGTATTGGTTTTCCAGTGAAAATCTCTTGCAAACCTTTCATGGGCTTCGAAATGTATAAATTCAATATTACATAGAATATTCAATAGGGCAATTTGTTGAAAAAGACGAACGTACGTTTTATAACTTTTATTCATTTTATTGAAGCAAATTTCTAATATTCATATATAAAAAGTGATAATTGTTAGCGGAATTCTCAAGATAATTTCTGTTGGTGTTTAAAAATGTTAATTTTCAAGTTTTTTTTGCTTAAAATCTGCGTGTGTAAGTTACACCACCGCCAAATGAAGGTGGTGAACGTCCTCCGGGCCCACCGAAATGCTGACCGTAATTACCGTTGACATGCACCTCGTTCAATTTGTTTGGACTTTGCCATACGCGTTGTTCACCTTGCACGTAGACATTCGTTCCAGCTTTGCGATTATGGTTGCCTTCAGCATATATTTTGGTACGATCATCTTCTGGTGAGCGACGACTTCGAATGTGATCCAATGGCTGAATTTCGGCATCAATATTTGTCAAGTAAGTTTTTGGAACGCGAACCCACACGTATTTCTCGTCAACATCTGATGGAAAAGCCAATGTGCCGAACGCGGCAACAATTACAGCAAAACAGAACAACGACTTCATTTTAAATAGACTTAATTTGCTAGCAACTTGTTCGTTAAACGGAACGGATGATTTGATGCATGATACAGAAACAACAGAGTCTTTTATACCTCATATTTATCCATTGGTTAAATGGGAATCACCGCGGAAATTTAAACAGTCGAAATTAATATGAAATGAGATAAGTTGAAAAAATCACCGTTATCACTTCGTTTTGTATTAAACATGTTTTGCTGTGAGCACATCATCTGTGTTGCGTAATTAATATTTTGTTTTGTACATTCGGTGATTTTTTTTGCATATTGATTAGATTGTTTAGCATATTTAAGCGTTCGAAAAAAATCCCCTTCAAAGATAAGCAGATGTTTCAAATAAGAAAAGTAATTTAGTTTACTTGAATAAAGTCAATATACACTCGAAACGCAAATTATTGAGTAAATTACTAATTGAGTGGATTTCATATGAGCTGCGAATGATTTGCAATTTTGTGACGTCATGCATCTTATTAGAAATTGTTTAGTTTTAAATTTAACTCATACACTAGAGCAATTCAATAGTAAAACTGTCTCATGCTTGTAAATAATAAATGAATCGTCTTAAAGTAAAAATCAAACAATATGGGAGGAAAGAGTCGGAAATCGTATTAATAGTAGTTTGACTCAAACGATTTGACTCAAATGATTTTTTTGGACATTTTTTCAAATTTTATTCGATTTTAACTATGAATTATCTAACCTTAATCTTTGATTTTTGAATGAAACAGAGGCAGTTTTTTCACCGTTTTTTTTTGTTGCTAAATTTTGTGCTAATTCTTCACACAGACAATAATGGTAATATACTTCATTTGGTATAAATAATAAGTCGAGTAGAATAATCGAAAATTATTAATAATCAATACTGCATTTATGTATTTCAAGCCACTTTAGTTGTACATTTGTATTCATTGTTAATTTGTATTCACATCACGTAATGGCTGTTTTTTTTTCATCAGAATAAATATCTCAGGAAATGTAATAGCAAATAAATATCAATAAGAAAGAAACCAAAAAGATCACTGGTACTTTCCGCTATTCGAAAGGGAAGCACCGAATCTTACTGATTACGTCACAAATCCGTCGCTGATAAGGCCAACGTTTTCTCGCGCATATATTTGTATAAATTAGTATATTTGCTTAGTTAGGTATTCTTCAAACAAAAAACTGCTGAAAAGTCCCCGTAACATAATTTATCATTTTTTAATCATCATAGATAGTGCAAGAGGGTATTTAAGCGAAAATAAACTGGACAAAATTATCATTCGTTGAACACAGCTCGAAGAAGTAACTTGAAAAAATTCTTTAAAAACATTTAAAATGAAAGTTATCATATATTCAGCTTTGATTGTTGTTTGTATTGCCGCTTTTAATCATGCGGCTGTGATTAACAATCAAATACCAGATGTTGTTGAATTTGAGCCAACATACGACGAAGGAGCATTGTACGATGCTATTGAAGAACACTTGCGTCATAGACGTCAAACGAGCAACGGCCAAGCTAAAGTTGATGTTCAACAAAACCGCGGAACTACCAGTGTAAACGCGCAGGTTGGCCGAGTTTGGGAAAGTAAAGATCGTAACACTCGTGTTGAGGCGAATGTCAACTACGGTCGAGATTACGGAAGCGGCAGATCGAAACCAAATTACGGTGGAAACATTGGAATCACACATCGATTTTAATAATTATTCTTCCAAATTACTCAAATATACTTAGAAATAAATGATTACATAAACATTTTGAACAAAGCAATCACTTTCTTTTTTATTTTCAAACTCGAGTTTTTCACTCAATCCTTCTCATATCACCCCTATCTCATATTATCGACCAAAAAATATTTTTTTTTTATTTCGATGGTGACAATACTAAGCAATTGTTGCTTTGCACAGGCCGTCGTGTGTTAGAGAAGCGCTTTGGTTACTTTAGCTCTAGGTTATAAATAAATGCCTTCACAATTATTCACAAAAAAAGTGATATTTGGATTTAGAATGAATGTATCATTTCATTTTAATAAATTCCATTGTGGCTGATTTTGGATTTTATCCGCAATTGCATATTTAAAAAAATGCGACATTGTAGTAAACTTCCATAGGACCGTAAAACAGTCCTGTTACTTTTTTTAACATCTTGTTGGTAAATTCATGCAACAAAATCATGCTAAAAATGATATGAATATAAAAAGCAGGGCTGTAATTTTCACTCTGTCAGTGCACGCACACAGTAGTGTGCACACTCACATTCTATGTGCGTCGCACACAATGCTTGTATTTTGCATATGCGCGCACACTTAGTCACAAGTTTGACATTTTTGGCGGTTGGCAAATTTGTAACTAAGTGTGCGTGCACATTCAAAATACAAGCACTGTGTGCGACGCACATTGAGTGTGAGTGTGCACACTACTGTGTGCGTGCACTGATAGAGTGAAAATAACAGCCCTGATAAAAAGACGAATAAAAGTTGTGGCACAGCAGTAAAAAGGAAAAAAAAACTTTATGTTTCAAACATTTTAATAAATTTTTGTTATTGTTTGTACTTTTTTCCCTCCATTGTCTTTACTGAATTGATTCCATAGACTCTCGCCTCCAATAAAACCATCGTTCATCGATATAATGATGACAAAACGACTGCGATTGATAGATTTTCCACATTTCAACTCTCATTTCTGTTCCTTTTTTGTCTGTTATAGAACAAAGTTTACGATGTTGTTATTTTATCGTACACGCACACAATCGATGTTAGTAACATCATGTTACCAGGACAATTTGTAAAAAAAAGAATATTTCTTCAATTATGACTATTTTTGTCGTAAAAACTGAACCGAAGATTTTTGAAGTGCAACAATAAACATAATGTTTCTAATAAAAATCAATATTTTCCATGCAGTTTGGATAAGAGAAAAAAATATATCATGCTTGACTTGTTTTAATTGAAATAATATTCAGAAAGTAAAAGTTTGAATTATGCGAACAATTCGAGTACGATACAAATTATGTGGGGATCAAACGAATGGTTTTTTCTTCAATAATATTGCTTTTATTTATACCGAAAATGTGAAATGGTGCACTCATTTTTGTTTCGGTGACAAAAATATTTTTCTAACAACAATAACAACGCAAATGAATCGATGCGAAAAATGCTTTTTACTGAATTGTAAACACTCTGCTGTCTTCGTGTTGAAGGCAATGGTTGCAAATCCAAAATATACCAATTAAGAGCAAGTTTTTTCTTTGTTGATTCAAGTTTTTGGTCATTAGAAAATGAATGGTCGATAAAATTGTACCATTTCAAGGAATGTGTCGAGCAGTGTCGAGAAATGTGTTTGAACACCGCAAAAATAACCCACAAACAGTTGGTCAAATGGCATTTTCTTTCATTACTATTTTCGGATTCGATCGATTTTATGCTCTTTCGCATATGTAGCAGCAAGCAAAAAACATTTATCTCATTTCAACAAATGGATAAAGTTTCATAAACAATGACCATTACACACATTATTACGTAACTTTGCTTAATATTTCGGCAGCAATAAAGTTCTGATTTCAACCATTTTGATTATTGTAAAAGAAAAAGCTTATACAATCTCTTAGAGAGAACTTCTCTAATCTATTTATTGACGTATTTATGGGCAGACATTAATTGAGATATTTTTAGCCAGCCAAATCAGCTCAGGGAGCTAATGTCAGGCGCTGAAATGGAGTGAAAACAATAGAAGTAATTGTTATAGCGATTGCAGCAATGTAATCAGCTGCATGAAAGTATCTCAATATAATGTCTGTTTATGGGCCATGCTAAACATCTAAAAATGTACATCTTGATTATCAAAACTTGATATAGTCTTTTGAAAAGTTATGCAATATATAATTCGATTCGATATTCCTTTAAGAATCTGTATTGATTTTGGTGAAACTGCTTGAAGCAAATACTCAAGACACTCACCTCAAGAAGCACTCTTCGGCTCGAATTCAAATTTTGGAAAAATTAATTCAATTTAATGTTTCACTTGCAAACGGATGATACAGCAAGATGAAGACAGAGTTTTTCATGTCAGTCAAAATGATTCGAGACTCGAATTTCGAGGAATTAATTTTATCTATAAAAAGTGAACTGAATATATCGAAAACGTGAGCCATGGCAATAGAAATCCATTAGGTATGGACTTTATCATTACATGCTACATTCATTTCGAAGGTAGGGACAGAGAGAAAGGCAAAAGTGATTTGGAGCCGGTGCACATAATTTCCGTAGACTCTTAAAAATATCTGTGAAATGACGTCGACAAATAAATAAACAATTTAATTCAAATATCAATCGATAAATACCGAAAAAAGCAACAATCGATGCAGTCGAAATCATGAAAAAAATCAGATCCACAAATAAATTGGGTACAATCAATATCAATGAAATTTGAATCTTAAAGTTGAAAATTCTTTCCTTCTTTTTTCATTTAAATCATTCACTTTTGTTCGTTCTATTGAATGTTGTTTTGAATGTTGTTTGCTTCATGGTTCCGTGTAATTCCCAAAGTGGAAATCAAATTTAAGTGTTATGGACGACAAGCAAAACAAGTCTTGTAAAAAGGACAAACATTGAAAGAAAAAAAAAACTTTAAAGTTATCGATGTTATGTTTTGTCTGCCGACATAGATGGGGAACTTTCATGAAAAGTGAAATTAGAAGTTTTTTTCCCCGCAAAGTTTTCTATTCAGCTCTTTTTCAATTTGTGCCGGAAGAAAGGAAGTTTAACGACCGAAAAAGGTTTGTAACAATTTCATTGGATCAGTTAATTTGTACGGAATGCACGCAATCATTTCGTTGAATTGGAATCGCATTCGCATTGACCAAACATAGTATTGATGGTTTCGCTGGTTTATTTTACGATTCCATTCGATTTATGGGTCATGAATGAATAGCATAACACTTAGTTCGTATGCGCCATTTTTTTGTTGTTGCTCACTCTTTGTGTAAGTGAACATGTAACGAATGAATCAAAAAACCAACCCCCACAAGTATTCGGTCCGTAGAAAAATGTGCTGATCCATGAAAAATAAAAGCAAATGTTTTGTACGTGGAATAATGAATGTTTGTTTATGCTCGTTGTGTATGCATTGAATAAACATTGTTGCGATTTGCTACTTTTGCTTTTAATTTCTCCTGCCATCGTTTCATTTAGTGCCATTTAAGATTATGTTTTGTTGACAAAACATTCAATAAGATTCGATTAAACATAAATCGAAAGTACGATTGATTCAACTCACGCAAATAATTGTTCTATTAATAATAATAATAATGTGGCTAAAGACGAAAGAAAATTTATCAATGGAAAAACTCACTGACTTGACAAAAAAACAGTAACCTTTTACTTGATAAATGTCAATGGACACTTTATTTCTAAGTAGAAGGCAAATATATCGAGCCAAAAAGCAGAACCTTTTATGAACCCCAGTTTGTGTGATAAATCAAGTGAGATACGATATCGATCGGCTAAAAGCGAATGTCAAAATATTTTGCGATTTATCTCTTTCATGGCCATTCCGGATATACTGCCATTGAAATTCAACCGAATAGTTTTCTTTGGATTTTGCTGCTCTCACAGTCGATAAATGCATCGAATCATTTTGCAAGATATATTCGTAGCAAGTAGTAGTTTACATCGAAATTGTATGAATTGCAAAAATGAACAACAGTCACATGCAAGCCATTTCGATTCGCTATGCGAGCTCAACTCACTTGCCATATCCATATCGAAGAATCACCAATTTATTTCCACTGCAAATTATAAGCATTTTTATTGTCTTTTTTTATGCGTTTCGCTTAAAATCGGGTACTTTTATGGATCACATGTTGTGTAGTAACACATATGGTGTTCATGGTTATTTTTTTTTTGTCCAATGTGCAGGAGTGATCGAAATCGATAAGTGCATATTCGCGTGTACAATCGGTACTTGAAATCGAAACTATTGATTCCCTAACGAGATTACGGCCAACAATGATAACATCAACAGACAGTAAAATAGACTGACACAAAGGGCGGGATGCATTTTAATAAAAATTACATGGGATTATTGTTTACGCTTGTTTTAACTGCTGTCTATTGTGCTGTGATTTGAACATTTGGTCATTTTCAATGCACACACACACAGCAGTGCGATATGTGAATGTGAAATACATATGCGTGCAAAATTACCGTGACAAAATTCGACTTGTGTGTGACGATTTTATCGATCGAAAAGTGGGAGCAAGAGAATGAAACCTTCAATTCATTTTCAGTTCTAATTTTGATATATTAACTATTGATTACTTTAAAATGAAAGCATTTTCATCCATTGTTCAGCTATTTCTAATCGTTTTGACAATTTTGGTGTGAATTTTATGAAATGTGATTTCAATCTCATTTGGTTGTGTTTTTCGGTCATCAAAATAGGATGTGAGAAATGTCGACTGGTATTGTTATTCTGATTTTTGGTACCGGACATTATACCTTTGTTTGCGGAAATGCATTATTTCGCAAAAACGCAAGAGAAACCAGATTGCTATTGAATGAATGATTGGGGTTGGGATTTCTCTCGTGTTCTCGCATTGTATGCATTCAATTATTTTGACTGGCATATTTGTAATGAGAAGGCGGACGCCGGACACATAAAACTATTGTTCATAACGGAACACCGAAAACCATAAAGTATATCCGTTTTGCAAAGGGGCAATTCCCGTGAACAAAGGAAACATCGTACTTACCAAAGTGTCAATAACATAATAAAAATTAAATTACTGTACAAAAAATGTGCAGAAAAAGGGATAGTATGTTTTTTTTTTTAAGTTTGGAATAAAATTCCATTGACGGAAATATAAAAGAACTTATTGAAATGTTACATTTATTTAAAATATTTTTATTCAAATAATTTAATGCCAGAGGACACCTCTCTATTGTTGTGTTTTATTTGTCTGATAAAAATGATTGGCTTTAAGGCCTTCAATTGAATATCAATTAATAATAATTCGAAGGTTACATTTATGCAATTATTGATTGTCAATCAAATAGATAGTTATAATTAAATTCACATGATATTGCAATAACAATTTTTCAATAAAAATAAGTTTGTTCAGGTAGAGAGATAAAACACAGGGATTTTTGTGAGCAATAAAATATGTCTTTATTGATGAGTATCTTTCTTAATACTAAAACTTAAAACTTAACTCCAGCCACGGCTCTGCTGTGCTGCTGATATTGGTGAGGTATGTGTTTGTATGCATGCGTGTGTATGAATGCTTGTATGTGCGTGTTTGTGAATGCATGCGTGTGCGTGTGTGCGTACTCACAGAAGACGTCAATTGTAATATTTGTGAACTCTGGTTGTGATTTACTAAATTACCACCATTACAATGTGCGGCATGGTGATTTTTGTATGTATTGTATTTGCTTTGCTGTGACAGTGCTGTACAGTATTACCACCAACACTGCGTTGAGCGATAGTAATATTGCTCAGCAAAGCAAATACAATACATACAAAAATCACCATGCCACACATTTTAATAGTGGTAATTTAGTAAATCACCACCAGAGTTCGCAAATATTACAATTGACGTCTTCTGTGAGTACTCATCATCTCTAAAAAAGTTTAATTTGAGTTTTAACTGTCGCTGTTTTACAGCCTATGTATTTCGGATGGATATCCATCCGAGATATTTTAGAATATCTGGATATTTAACGCAACTGCACAGAGCCAGAGCTATGTGCGTCGCACATATATTGTATACATATGGGCACAGTGGCTACTACGACTACTGCGGCACTATTCGATCAACTGAGTTAAGCTGCACAAGCTTTGGTCAGGAGATAAATGGGTGACCGTTTAGAACATCGTATGTAGTCGTAAAATACTGTGTCAACCGTGTCTGTGTACGACAAAGGTATGGATTTCAGCACAGACACGTAAAATAGAAATCCAACGCCATATAGAATATTGCAAAATCATAAGAAATGTAGGATACAACCGGCTGATCACCGATTTATCTGAATTAATTGATGATTTTTTTGAATTATCACTCTCATTTTAGACTTCATGTTTAGGCTTATTCGCAAATTCTTTTGGCTTATATATAGTGTGTGATTTCGACCTTGGCCTATAAAAATCATTGCCACATGGGGTTGCGATAATTCAACATGAATATATTGGCTAAGAGCTAAAAGGAGGATGTGATTTGAAGCTCTTTCTATCAAATGAAAGCTGTAAACAAGTAATTATGAGATGTGATCCCGTCATTTTATTAATATTTTTTATTTAAAAATTGATATATTTACCAATTTATTATTTACGGAAAGTCAAGTATCATTTCAAGGTTATCGAAATTTGAACTTTCCACGTTAGATTTTACATGCAGTTGATTAAAAATTGATCAAAAGTTAAATATTTCTAAACAGTTATATATTCTCTGTTTGAAACCAAATAAAATGACCGCAAATTGTATGAATCTTTGTACAACATATTTGTTGTTATTATATGTTTAACCTTTATTGATGATAGGAGTTGTTTTTATTTTGAAAAACATTTAAATACAATACTGATTTGGGGAATTTCACTTTGACTGCACTTCTACAGACCCTCATGAAAATACTTGCTCATATGTAGCTGGAATTGAGTGTTGTTGAGTAGCGCTTTTCAACCATTGATAAGTGATCAAAGTCAATAATATTTAATTCTAACTGAATTAATATTTGCTATTACTTATTTAATATTTTTTACGCAAGGGCAATCGCTGTACTTTGTGAATCAAGTTGGAAATCCCAACTTGGCATTTTGTTTTTGTTTTCCATTGATAAGATGACCAAACCAAAACCGGTCAAGCAATCAAATGTTACATTTTATATATTACGTTGGACCCATTTGGAATCGAGTCAGTTCGATTCATGTCATCGTGAAGCGTACATACGTTCTTCTTGAACTGATAATTTCCAGTGTGGAATTTTCATTTAAAAAAAGTTATTGAAATAACAAATTAAAATGCGGTGTTTTGCACTGCTAGTGATATTTATTGTATTTGTAGATTTCGTGACTCCAGATCTGTGAGTGTATTTGGAAAATTATCAGAATCACTTTTGAATTTAAATTTAAAATGCACATAGATCTAAAAAAGATAATCATTCCATTTCTTTTAAATTACCAAAAAGTTTTTACGAAATAGCTTCCGAAACAGAAGAATAAATAATCAGTAGCTCAAGATAGAATTTTTACATTGGCTTATTGCGTCACATTGCAATTAAAATCATGTATTTTTTTTTTCAGACCACAATCGCGCTACAATGTTTACACAATCGTTGCTCCACAAAATATTCGCTCACATACAGATTACAAAGTGTCAATAACACTTCATGACTATATTGAACCGGTTACTGTTCGAGTGGCCATTGAAGATGGTATTAAATACAAAAATGAAGCGAATATTACAATAAGTTCAAGCAAAACGGAACTGGTCACATTGCGCATTGATAATTTAGAAAATAGGGGTTATAGATTTGTAGCTGAAGGTTTATCGGGAATGAATTTCACTGAAATGGAGAATTTAAAAATCGAATCTAAAGAAGTGTCACTGTTTATTCAAACTGATAAAGCAATCTACAAGCCAGGCGACTCGATTAAATTTCGCGTATTAATTTTAGATTATAAATTACGACCGGTGAAATTGACACCGGATAGTCTACTCAACGTTAACATCGCAGATCCCGAAAAGAATCGCATACAGCAATGGCTTAAAGTGACACCAACGAAAGGTGTGTTTACGAGCGAGCTTCAATTGTCCGATCATCCAATTTTGGGTAATTGGAAATTCGAAGCCCAGGTTGGAAATGAGATCAAAACCAAAGAAATTGAGGTGGCCGAATATGTTTTACCAAAATTCGAAGTAACAATCGATTCACCGGCTGATGTGTCGGCAAAAAATGGAAAAATTCGTGTTATCATTCGCTCCAAATACACTTTTGGGAAACTGGTAAAAGGAGAAGCAGTCGTATCGTTGACACCAAAAAACCACTTCCGTCGGAGGATAGATAATACAGAAGGCGTGTTGAAAACAATCAACGTCGATGGTAAAGGTACAGTAGAATTTGACATTGACAATGAGTTGAGGACACGTTTCTCGGAGGGCGAAACACGCGAATACGAATTGAAAGCCATCGTTATTGAAGAGTTGACTGGTCGTAATCAAAGTGCCACGAAAACTATCACAATTCACCAATCACGGTATAAAATCACTCCAACAGGACTCAGCCATAAATTTATACCAGGACTTCCGTTCACATTTTCGGTAAATCTTTTCTTTAACATTGGAAAGTTAGTTTTTGTAATTTTTATGATACATAAATTCACAGATCGAAGTGACCCATCATGACAATTCACCAGTTTTATTAACCGAAAAGACGAAATTGTTAACTATCGAACAAAAAAATGAAAACCGCACATGTTATGATTTCGTGTTAGGTCCAAAAGGAACAGTTGATATCACTTTACAAACTAACAACGATAGTTTCGACTTGAAAGTAAGATAATTTAAATTGATATGTGCTAGCAAAATTTATTAATCAACAATTTTAATGTTAGGTAAAATATATTGATGAAGAGTACGATTTGGGTTATTTCCATCCATATTCATCAGGAGTCGAGTTGAAAGTAAACATCTTGACCGAACGGTAAAATTTTAATCTAAATTGATTTCAATGAATTTTTGATATAATTGATTTAAAATCTCATTGATTTTACAGGCCAAAGCTGAATGAAAATGTATTAGTCGAGGTGCAATCAAATTATTTGCTTCCGAATTTTACTTATCTTATTATTGGCCATTTCGGAGCAGTGTACGCTGAAAATGTTAATGTGGACAGCAAAAGTCACACATTCAAATTCAATGCAACGTTTGATTTGGTTCCAAAAGCAACAGTGATTGTCTATCATTTAAAAGATAACGAAATGGTTTCCAGCAAGACTGACGTAGCAATTGATAGTAATTACGTAAAATTAAAACTATCAACCGCAGAGACACAACCGGGCAAAGATGTCAACATTGATGTTACCACAAATCCAGAGTCACGTGTCGGTTTGGTTGGAGTTGATCAGAGTGTGTTGCTATTGAAGAAAGGCGACGGACTTTCGAGAGATGATATAATGCAAGAAATGGACGAGCATCAGAAACATTTCTTTAATGCTGGAACAGGTCCATGGAGCGTTGCATGGCGAAATCATTATGAAGATTTTTTCAATGCGTTCGATGACTGCAAAATGATTCTTATCACCAATGCGAAACAAAGAAGATTTGAATTGTGGCTCAGTTCAGACCGTTTTTATGATCGTATTTTACATGGATCAGATTTAGTTGATGTTCGTTTTGGTGAATATTCGCCAATGCCTTTATCATCATCACAAGCATCATCATCTATTTTTCAACATTCTGGGTACAATAATTACATTTAATTCATTTGCGACATAATCAATTGATTGCTTGAGAATTTATTTTCATATTTTTTTTATTCTTCATAGAGTTGCATATAGTGAGATGTCGCCAAAAACTGAAATTTCAGCACCAATTGAACCACCAAGAGTGCGTAACATATTTCCAGAGACTTTTCTATGGGAAGATTTCGATGTGAACAATGCAAATGGAAGTCTAACGCTCACAAAAAAAGTGCCTGACACAATCACTTCATGGATTATCTCGGCATTTTCCATTAATCCGAGTGTTGGCTTGGGCTTGACTATGAACCCAAAATCATTGAAAGTACTTCAACCATTTTTCGTGTCTCTGAATCTTCCATATTCAGTGAAACGAAATGAAGTTGTTGCTATTCCGGCGGTTTTATTCAATTACTTAGAAACAGATCTAACTGCTGAACTCACGCTACATAATGAAAATGGTGATTTTGAGTTTGTTGATGACATCGAAGGTGATAAAACATTGCGAAAGCGTCAAGTTGCAGTGGCATCAAATGCCGGCGTCTCTTCAACGTTCCTTGTCCGATTTACTTCAGTTGGTAAGATTACATTAAAAATTACAGCCACTTCTGCAGTAGCTGGCGATGCGATCGAACGTGTTCTTCAAGTTGATCCGGAGGGTGTTCCACAATATATCAACAAAGTGTTATTCGTCGATTTGCGCGAGACCAACAGTTTTGATGCCATTCAAAATGTCGAAGTGCCCGAGAATATAGTTCCCGGTTCGTTGAAAATCAGTGTGAATGCGATCGGCGATTTGCTGGGCGGAACTATTCAAAACTTGCATAAATTAATCCGTTTGCCAACTGGGTGTGGAGAGCAAAATATGCTCAACTTTGTGCCAAACATAGTCGTTTTAGACTATTTGACAGCAGTAGGTGAACTCGATGCATCGATCAAATCCAGAGCTATCAAATTTCTATTGAGCGGATATCAACGGGAGCTTACATATCGTCGAAATGATGGTTCTTTTAGTATTTTCGGTAAAAGGGATTCTATAGGTAGTACATGGTTGACTGCATTCGTCGCAAAATCATTTATACAAGCTGGCGCCTATATTGATGTCGATAATAAGATTATCGATGAAGCACTCGATTTCCTCAGCACACTTCAAGCTTCCGATGGCAGTTTTCCAGAAGTCGGTAAAGTTTACGACAAAGTCATGCAAGGAGGTTCCAGTAAAGGAGTGGCATTAACTGCGTATGCTGCAATTGCTTTTTTGAAAAATAAGGTTAGTTTATGAGCATTTGTTATCAACGCGGAAATTTAATACCTTACACTTAAAAACAATACAGAAACAAACAAACTGGAAGCATGAGGAAACAGTGAACAAAGCCATTATGAACATCGCATCAAATGTCAAGGACATCGACAATCCATATGCTCTAGCAATTGCAGCATATGCACTACAATTAGCCGATCATTCAAATAAGGACGAAATTTTGAACGCTCTTGTCAATAAAACGCTCGTTGATGGTAAACATTCATTTTAATTAGTGACAAATTCAAAGCGAATTCCAAATATGAATCTTATTTTCCAATCAAATACAGGTCAATATAAATGGTGGACTGCTAAGAAGCCCGGTTCGAAAGACACTCAATCGATATCAATCGATGTTGAAATTACGTCATACGGTATACTATCGCTCATTGAAGCAAACCGACTTACCGAGGCTTTTGCGTATTTCAAATGGCTTTTGGCACAGCGAAACGACAAAGGTGGCTTTTTTGGAACACAAGACACTGTAATTGGGTTGGAAGCATTGGCCACATATTCTCGCCTCTTCAACAGCAAAGAGAATAATGTCCAACTCAAAATACAAGCTGAAACTATAAATGAAAAAGTGTTGAATATAAGTTCGGAGAATGCAATGCTTCTACAAACTGTTGATTTACCATCGGATACCAGATCCTTGCATCTCGTCGCATCCGGAAAAGGATATTCTTTGTTCCAATTATCTTATCGATACAATCTGAATGAAAGCGATGTCTATTCGATATTTACATTGAAGCCCACCGTTCTTGAAACTACTTCCGGTCATTTGAATGTCAAAGTTTGCTCAAGGTTGAATCAATTGAACGTAAATACTTCTATTGTGTCAAAAATATTAATGTGAAATTTAATTACAGATTCAATCCAAGGACATCTGACGATGAGCATTCCAACATGGTAATCATGGAAGTGGCAATGCCGAGCGGTTTTCTGATAGAAAAGGATCGATTGGAGGAATTGTTGCAGAAACCACATATAAAATTGGTAGAAACAAAACGCGGCGAAACTGTTGCAGACATTTATATTGATCAGATGATTGCAAATGAGGAAATTTGTTTAGAAATTCAAGGATATCGTTTACATAAAGTTGCCGAAAATAAACCAGTACCTGTGCGCATCTATGACTATTATGACAGCTGTACGTATTTATGCGTTCACAACGAACCATATTTTCATTTAAAATTTCTTTTTGTTCGTTTTCACTTTCAGCTCGGAGTGCACGAGAATTTTATGAAATTCCATTCATAACATCTTGTGATATTTGTGAAGGCGACGAATGCTCGAAGTCATGCAAAAAATGACCTTAATCTGGATGAAATTCACATAAAATATATTCAAAAAAAGGAATATTATGTTTTTCTTAAGTTGTTTTTTTTTTAATGAAATTCAATTATTGAAATGTAGCATTTAATAAAACATTTTATTCAAATAATTAATTGCCATAGTATATCTTTCTTTTTTATTTAAAACTATAGCTTCACAAGCTTATAATAGCCCAGAAATGAGGTTTGGTTAATACTAAATCAATCTACCAAAGGGCACTTCCTAAGCTTGATGGCCGCTAAAACAATTCGGATCAACAACGTGTGAGAACTCTTTTATTGTATTGAGGTTTTTGTTATTGGACACAATCGGAATGTCCCATTCTCAGCCATTCTTTTTCATTGCCTCGACGTCTTTTCATTGATTATGTGAAATGTTGAGGTCAAATTATGTTTTCCATTCATTTAAAATATATATGGTCCATTCCTCTTCAACTTTTTCAAATGAAATCAAAAATGATGATTTTATTGAAGACAGAAATTAAGTTCGAATGAAATGTGTTCAATTTGCATGATTCTTCAACATCCAATTGAATAAATGACAATTCCTAGTATTCCAATACATTATACAAATTGTAGTTTTAGTCTACCCTCTTTGTAAAAAATCAATCGTTCCAAAATATAGATGTAAATATCAGATTGAGTCATTTATTGAATATTTAAGGGTGAAAATAAAAAGTTTGTGTATATAAATTAAATTATTTTTGACATTGTCTAAAAGCACTTTAAACGAATGCACCAATGTTTCAACAGAGCCACCAATTTGTGCGCAAAAACTGAAATTCGATAAATTAAAGAAACGGAGTTAAAACACCACCAACCAATTACAAACAAAACGTAAACTCAAATTTCAGCAGAAACGAAGATTCAAACACATCTCTCCCTCGATCAGCAGTTATTGCATGCAGTTTCGTGCTATTCAGCGATTCGTTGTCTAACTAAATAAATGAGAGATGTATTACATCAATATTTTGTGAGCAAACACAATAAGGATGAACAATTGCATTTTGTTACCGCATAAATCTCACTGATTCATAAACTTACCCTTCGTCTATGTCACATAGACTGTGTGTATCATCCGCTTTCTCTCATTCTCTCAAATATAAATGAATTACCTCACGCACAAAAGATGATGATGCTATCGCACATACAAACAAAAGCACGACAATACAAAAAATGCTACAGAAAATTTGTATTTATTGTGTGTATAATTTCGGCTTTTAATAGAAACAGAAGGTCTACATGATGTGATATTTGTTCTGTTACGAAAAAAATAGGGAAACGTAGAAAGCAAAAACAAAAAAACAATCCATAAACGCAATGTGCAATTCGCATGTAAATCGATTCAATCTTCGTAAGAGAGTACATTTTGGTCGACGTTTTTTTTTTGTTCGTAACAAAAATGATAATCGATATTGAGCCGTTGTTTATTACAAGCAAACTTTTCCTCTATTTGATCACATTGCGTTGCTGCGTTTGATACGTGAACATTATTTTCTCGTACACTAATAAATGGGGCGTCAAAATCAAGTGAATTTTTGTCTGATCCGATTTCCTAATTGCATTTTATTTTGTTCAGACGGAGAATGCATTCAAACGCCGACAGCAATACATTTTCGGCTGTCACATTCGGCTGCAATTCAGGGACAAACAAAAACTGCTGCTAGATACAATTTAGATTTATTAAAAAAAATCGTCTAGTGTAGACGAATGAAGAAAAAATTGCAACAAAACTGATCCAATATGATAAACATTTTCCGTTGGACATATTCGATTGACAGTTAATTTTACATTTGACGCATTGGTTTTTACTTCGTTTTTATTATACTGATTTGTGTAAATGATATATTTGCTCAATTTTTTCCGATTTAATCGTATTATATAAAAAAAACACACGCAAAGTGCATAAAGAAATGCGATTACATGACTACGTATCCTTAGCTTAGATTCCTTGTTAAATACGGTCGCTTAAGTTCGATTGCGTTCTTTTTTTTTGTATACAAACGAGGGTCGATTTAAATGGATAATATTTGTTCTTTTTATTCCATTCGACACATATGTAATGCTGTTGAGAGTGCAAAATGCTGTAAAATTGTCCCTGTTGTTCAAGAACCTCAACTTGAGACTAGTTAAAGTAAAGGCGCATATTTTTTAATCTGTCGGTGGGAATTGTGTCAAAATACAGTGTGACATGCATTAAGTGAAACAACCCTTACCCTTTTGAATCATGATAATAATAAACATGGCACGAGTCTCACATTTTTGTCACAAACTAATTTGAACAATCTATTGAAATTGACTGCAACAGTCATGTATTTAATTAGAATTGTTTTGCTTACAAATTAATATTTATTAATTTTAATTGATGTATCAAATATTAAATGATCAAAAAGTAATTCCCTATAAACTCATGTACATTTCTTCGACCATTCAAAACTAAAGATTGTTCAAAAATTTATATATACTACATATACGGATTGATTCCGATGGGAATTGGATAAAATTCAGCTAAGAACATCGATTGAAAACTATTCAAAAATGAGTATGTATCTATGTGTACCGTTTTTCGCCTGTATGAATGCTTCAAAAATTTCCAGAATGAATCATACCCATTGAATGAATCATGTTCGTTTGAAACCTTCTCCTGAACGAAACACTTTGAGTAAAATTCATTTTCTCCTCTTTTGTTTGAGTAAAAACGGTCGATGTTTTGAGTGAAAATTGTGGAAAAACGTGTGCTGTCAATTGAATTTAACGGACAAAAACAGGTTTTTCTATACAATATTAATATTGTATTTCACTCAAATTCATTCCAATTCGAATGTGTATTTATGAGTTGAAACGTTGTGTGTATGTGTGTAAGTGACTAAAATGCGTTGGATTGTTGAAGCCGCTATTATTGTTGTATTCGTTTATTTCATATGGGTGTTTTTCGTTTGTTGGTTTCGTTGCACACACATGTGTTTGTTGCTTGTTGGTATAGTAAGCGCGCTTGATATCCAACAAACCAGAATGTGATGGTTCAGTACAACATTGTAATCGGACGCGTTCAGTTCACAATATTGTTTTGTTGTGTGTGCTTGCGCTAGCATTTGTTGGGCGTATTGACGAAGAGAATCAATTTCGAAATAATACAAGTGGTTTTAAATCTGGTTTCTTCTTAAAAAAAGTATTCCGAAAATATCGCATATTTCAACAAGTGATCAATTTTTCTCAATGATTATTTTGGTATTTTCAATAAATTCAACAGATTCACAGGTGTGACAGAAAATCGAATACAAAAAGCTAATTTATTTGGCTGTCATATTTTTTTGTGAATAAAGAACTTGGTATTTTACGTGCACAAACACATGATCACCGTCGATTTTGTGACGTTTCTCGATGGACGAATGAGTGTTATTGCTCAACCGCATTCATTTTTAAGAAAAACACCGTGTTTTTTAAAAGACACAGATTCTTTTTTGTGATTTTTTTATGTGTGCAGCAGCAAAAGTGACAGCGTTCACGGAAATGAGCTACAGTTGAAGTCGGTGATAATTAAATGTACATTACAAACAAAAACATATTGATGAGTGATGAAAACAAACGCATAGTACCGTTGCTTGAATTGTGTTGAATCGATGACTTAATGAGTGAAAATTGAGCAGCTTGCTTTTTTTTTAAAAATAAAATTAGACATCAAGCATTGACATTTTATTGCATTTGTCTGACCATCAAAAATTTGAAAAAATATACACAAAATCTATATGTATGTATTTAATTGACATAAATTCCCAGGTAGTTGTGCGTTAAACATATTGTATATTGGTGATTGTGCGTTTTTATGTGACATCGTCCCCATATCAACAATAAAAAAGGTGTTTTTATGCCAAACGAATTTCGATTACAATCAACGAAATTCACGCAGACACTGACAAAAAACAGATAATTGTACTTATCAAAGATTCACCTGTGTACACCTGTGAGACAAAACACATACGCAGCAAAAATTACAAAACTAAAAAGAAGTTATCAGATATTCTTCGAATAAAGTGAATTCTAATGAAAACATCGTTGAGAGAGAAAAAAGACCAAAGTAAGCAACCACATACATACACACACACACATCAAAGAAAAAGAAACTAAAAAGAAACTTGAAAATACAAAAAACCGCACATTTATTGTGTAAAATTGTGAATTTCATTTACGCGCCACGATTGAATGTGTATATGAAGAGGACAGAAAATACGAACACAATGGCAGTTAAAAATAAACAACAATCAGAATTTCGTTATCGTTTCACGATATTGAATTTCATTTTTATCTCATTCGTTAGCAGTATATTAATAGGTGAGTACAAAAAAAAATACATATATACATCAATTCATTTACCAACACTGGAATATCTTTCCTTTTATTCAATTTGTGTATTAAATTGTTTACTTTCTCGTAATGGTATTAATTTTTTCCCCATTTTCTTCGGTGAATATAATGCGCGTTTGCTTGGGAAACATTTCAGAATATTTCTGTCTGTGCTACAAATTGTAGTTTTTTAATTTAATGAATGACGATAAGTGTTAATGTGTGTCATCTTTAATCGGTCATTAGACGTAAAAGTTTGTCATTCATGAAAAAAAAATTGAATGAATCATAAACGTTTAAATGTTCATCACTTTTTCCGTTGCTCTACCAACAAAGACATATTCAGATCAGATGACGTAATACGCACACATAATGATATCGATTGAATCACTGTAAAATGCAATGAGAAATAACCGTTCAATAAAAAAAGACGTGAAGAAGCAATATTGAATAGTGGCGGCAAAAGTGGCGGGAGATTTTCTGCTTATTGCAAATAATAACATGTAATTTATGTTCTGCTCAAAATCACTGTGTATTTCAACATCACGTTTGTGTATCAAACGGTGTTGCATTCGAAAAAGGTCACTTCCAATGATAATAAAAGTGGTTTTGTGCATCTCTGTCGGTCGTGTATCGCGCTTGCATGGTGTCGACAATCACGATCGGCACGAGTTTTGCTTTCATACGGAGAATTCTTTAACCATTAGATACAATCAACGAGACAGTTCCGTTCCATTTCGAAGAACGTATTCAAATAAATTTAAAGAGTGAAACAAAAAAAGTGAATACTGCTACTGCATTCAAATGATGTTTCCAATCGAACAAGTACATCGGCTTTACGAGCCTACCGAGATGCATTTATTCATATTATTATTTTTTCTGTGAACTTAAAAAAAAGTGAATGCATTTTGTTGTAATATTGATGCTGATGTTGTTCACGTTCTTTGTGTATAGAGACGGTTTGGGTGCCTATTCGAGATGTGAACATGCAACACAAGAGTATATAAAAAAAAATTATAATAGAATCTCACACATATGGAATTTATGATGTTTTATGTGAACTGTGGCACACAGTTAGAATATTACATGCATTCGCCTCTGACATCGATACAAACACGGACTGAACACCGTAAGAAAACATAATCTACCATAGACGGTGGAATCATGTTGTCGACGAAAAAATAACGAATTTCAGAAAAAAATATTCGTCTTTTAACTCACGCACAACATCACAAATTACCTTTTTGTATTTTTTTTATGAGCTTCACTCACCGACATCGTTGGTATAAGCAATTTTCACCTTCTCACTCTCCTTTCCATTGTAGGTGCAAACAAAATGCACAGCGGTGTATGTTAATTTTCTTCTTTTTTTTTAAACACAAATGCAGCTATTCAAAGGAATTTTTGGCGTTTTGGGAATTAAAAGTGAACTAGAATTAAAAAAAAACAAGAGTAAATTGGGTAAAATATGCATAATTCCAGCGTTGAGTGAAAAAAAATGAGAACACCGAACTATAATACACACAAACACAGAAATGCAAGCATAATGCGAACATAATACGAGTACACGTGCATTTTTATTTGAGCTAGTTTAATGACACAAAGTCAAGCAATGAATGCATTTGTTCGTTTACCTCTCATAGTGTGGAGTGTTGTTGCGTGACTGTGAATGAACAGCAAACCAACAACAACAAGAAAAAATTAAAAGTTAAAAGAGAAAGAGAGAAAAAAACCCACTGTGCTTTAGAAGCGAAGAACAAATGAGAAAAATACAGAAAATTAAATGCCACAACATAAAAAGTGCGCTTCGTAGTCATTCGCAGTAATAGAGTATAACCTTTTCGATGAATATTTTTTGTTTCTTTTTTTTGTTCTCTTCATTTGATGTAAAAGGGCACACCACTATTAGTTCGGTTTTTATTTTGTTTCATTCAGAGGAATATGAGATTCAGACAGAGACAGACACACAAAGAGTGAATATTCAAAAAAGGTAGACACAAAAATTATGAAAGATTTTACACGTTTGATAGCGCAATCGACGCTTTGCTTTTTTATGATGATTTCTGTTTTATTTCAAGTTACAAACATAAGACACACACACAAACAGTTCTTATTAAAAGACATCATTTATTCGGTCCGTTTTCAACATGTTAAAATTAAATGAATTCGCTGTATATTGTTATTCCTTTTTGGTTCTCATGCATAAAACAAGTTAAAGGAATATTAATATGTTCGCAGGTAAGATGAAGCGCATACTGAAAAACACAAGAAATTGTACAAATAAAATGATTCTTCATACGTAACATAAAATAAATGCTCGCTCACCATCACCATCACCATCTTTGCCCGTGTGACATTTTAATTTATTTGATGCGCGAATGGTGCGATATTGCTGTTGCCTCATAAGCCATATACCTCGAAGTCATACAAAATCGGACGGTTTTTCACATGAACCAAAGAGAAACGAAAAAGAGCATGAAACAAGACAAAAACCGTGCAAACATTCCTAGGCGAAAAAAGAGAGAAACATTAATACTCACACAATATGGAAGATATAATATTTATTACCTGGAAAAACATCTTTTCTTTTTCTTTTTATTTTGACACCGTCTTAGATTATGGTTATGAATAATTCGTGACGGTTTAATCGGTTTTATCGACTTCACACGCTAAATCGCCCGCTCACTTTACAATTGCATTTTTATTCGTTTAAATTTTTAAATGTGTTGCGTCATTTGTAATTGTAAAATAATAAATTTGTTGTTTTGTTTTTTGAGATGCTGAGCGCCTCAATTTTTACACATCTACGCAAAGCCATTATGAGTGGCAGGTATCAAAATACATTGAATTGGCTTTGCTTACATAGGTTTCAATCAAAAGTGAAGAAAACTGTCAGATCAAGTGGCTGACACATTAAAGCATCATCATCATCATCGCCAACAAAGGAGAAATTTAAATAAGTGTCGATTTCAAATAAAATGCGTTTCATCTTAATGCCGACTCGCATAGTTTTCTTGTGTATTGAGCAATGAGAGCGCAATATTGGAAGTGCCACGTTTACAACTCACATAAAAATTGTAGTTTCGGTTACCTTCATCTAAAATATATTTTATCGCCGCTAAATTCATCGAATTCATTTCAAATGATTGGGATTGTTTGTCAAGTGCAAATAAAATCCAACTCATTCAAAGTTTCGATGTTCGTGTATGTTGCCGAAAGTGACCATGAACACGAACAGCAACGCTTTTTGCCAATGTATCGAATGTGTTAGTCAATTGATTGATGTTGATAAGAATCATTGTATAAGTTTTCCGGCGACTCGGTTCTTTGTTTATTTTGGCGTGTAACGAACAGCAAACAAACCATATGCTTTTGTATGTGTGAACGATCCATTGACGACAAAGCAACAGCAACTCAAAGTCAACATCATCGAAAATACGATGAAATGACATGATCCACGCACCCCCCACGAAAACAATGCATACCATTGTGTAAATGATCCTTTTTCGACCAATTTTCAGCCAATTCCGTTTGGTGTGCGTGCTCCAGTGGATTGTTCGTCAATCGAGTGCCGGAAGACGAAAAACACTCATGCAATATTGTTTGTCGGAAAATTTATTTACACAGGCGTTGAAATTCGGCACGAACTGCTTTTCCCAAAACATTTCCACATCAAAGCCATTTCCATTTGCAATTGAAACAATATTCCATAAAACCAAACCCTTTTCACTCAAATATAATTTATCAAATTTCATAATTGTTTTCAAAACGTATAAATGTTATTTATGGGATCTAAATACGCACCAAGTCATTCTGTTGACAAACAGTATTTCGAGCATACACAGCTCCGAGACTGAAACCAATTAAATGGGTGCTATTTTGACATCAATTAACGGAACTTTTGCTCAACAAAAAAAAAAACATCTATTCAAAACATATTCTCGCAGGCTGCTCATGCCCATACCCAATATGTGTTTCTTTTTTCATTTTCTGCTTAGAATGCGTTACAAAGCATAAAAGAATAGAAAAACAATTCGTTTGTACCGCAGCAGGACAACAAATTCTATTCAATTCGATGAATTCGATATGAACTGGATGGGAATTTGGTAGAGCCAAAATGTGAATGTCATTGTTGAGGTTGTCATCGTACGGTGACTGAATTTAAATTTAGAATGAATCAAGAGACTAATAAGAGAAGAATTTGCTATTGTTTAGACACATAGCATGGACATCGAAAACATGGTGGCTAACAGTAATAAATTGACTTCAAAATGCAATGAAAATTAATCAGCATTGTATGCACGCTCAAAAACTGTAACCCTTATATTTACTCTTTTGTTTGTTGTACTTTGCATAGTCAATTCAAGGTTTTTCGTCAAGAGTTGATATCGATATTTTGACATTTCGTCGACAATTGAGAATGACTCGATATTTTTATTGGGTTTCAACAACATTCACTCGTTGGAAATTGTTTTTGTTTGTTTATTTACTTATTTTGAGAAATTCGAGCTAAACTCAAGCTGTGAGCATAATAAATTGGCAACTAGTATGCTAGTCTCGTTGCTGTGTTATGCGTGCATGTGTTTCTCTCTCCTTAGTTCACGTCACAATGTTTTTTCCAATGGTACGTGGTCCATAGTCATTTATATATGACCCACCCATGATATGACTTTATTATTAACTGCACGGCGGCGCATCCTGTCTCTCAATTTGCCTTCTCACACTCTCGCATTTGAGCTGACGTTCCAATGCGTACGATTTTTATTTCTCTTTTCTGTTTTTGTCATACATAGTGTTCGTGTGCCGTTTTCCGTTTCGTCACTGATGTCATCGATACTCCGACGGACCATTTGTCTTTTTTCCGTTTTTCTCTTTTGAAAAGTTAAATAAACAATGCTCTCATGCTTACTCTTACTATTATCTATTTAGTCCTCTTTCGTTTCTACCACTTTTTTCTTTATTAATTCGTATTAATAGCGTTTTTATTT